TTTTTTTTGAAAAGCCAGGATGAAGTCACTAAGGGGGGCGTGATACGTGCAAGGAAATCAGAGAACTGGTTTGACCCTCAATTTCACAGATTCGCGAAGGGGGCTTTGGGAAGTGGGGTCGCTCGGGGGAGAATTGACAAGCGGACAGGTGGGCAGGTAGGTGGGTGGGTGGGTGTATGGGTGGGTGGGCGGGCGGGTGGGGGTCTCATGAGGAGTAGGACCCTTTATGGGGGCTACAGAGTGCTGTGCGTAGGACAGTTTTGTTTGGAAAATCAATGGACTCTTTTTCCCCTCGCAGTTCTGAGATATATCCCCAGGTGACCGGCTGCAGGTAATCCGTAATTCGAGATTATTATGGAAGTTGTTGCAGATTATATGTCATGTCATGATTATTGGTTATGGAGCCTCTGTTATGACAGGTATGTCCCGAGTTTAAGCCTCTTGAAGTATTGTGAAATTGAGGGTCTCAAGACTCTCAACCCTGATTGGCCTCGTAATTGAGCCAATGAGACATGCATGTCAGTCATGATGATTCTGACTGCCAATTCAACCTGAGAATCCTTTTATTGGGTGTGTCCCCACCGGCCGCAGCAGCGCATGAGCAACCACTTCCACATGGCACAACGTACCCCACCGAGCTACCCGTGCTGACTGGCCCCCAGGCTGGTCATCCTCCTCAGGCCGCTGAAACTGACGGCAACTATGATTAGAACCCAGCACCTATGCAGTGTCGCTCAGGTATGAAACCGGCAAAGCTAGCAAGCAGACTGGACAAGAAAATCAAAGAACTGGTGGGACCACTTTGAGAATTGCACTATATAGGGCCTCTTTAGACACCACTTGAACTCAAGGGTTGACGGAAAATTCTTCGTTGCACCCCTCCCCAATGACCCAGCCGTAATGTTTTCACTTTCCTGCTCTCAAGTGTGCATACTTGAAACTCAAGTGCGGCTGGAGGCAAAATTGCACTAGAACTCAAGGTTCCTGCTCTCGGCGAGGTACCTACCTTGAGTTCAAGTGCCAGCGGATACCCCCAGCACTCCAAGTGGGGCTTTTTTTTTGTTTTTCTTTTATTCCAGCAGGCGCTCCTGGTCCAGGATTGGTCCAGCCGTGGAGTTTGGTTTCAAGTGCAGCCTGTTCAAGGGTATCCTCAAGTGTACATGGAACCATAAATCTTGAGTGGCACAGTTTTTTTTTCCTTTTCCCAAAGGCCCCTTCTATTCTGGGGGGCATCAGTCGGGTTGCTTATCACCGGCAAGCAATTACAATGTTTGTAGAGGAGACATACAAGTGGGCAGCCCATGCCGCTCTCGATACCTTCACACTAAAGGTGCACATTTCGAAACTCACACACCATGCCTATTTCAAACTAAAAGTGTGTCGCAGCTACAGTTTCCCCCATTTTTGTTTTTAACGTTGCAGGAATTTCAAAGGGTTTTCATAGCACTTACTGTGGTTTGCAATTCTCTGTCAGCTTGTTGACGTTGAGAACGGGCATAACAGTAACAGTTTCTGTGGTTTGCATAACAGTTACTGTGGTTTGCATGTTTTGTATAATTTAGCGGTTACCCTTGACTAGGAAAAAACAGGCAACAGGAAGGACAGTGAACTCTACCAGCATATGTCAGTTGTCCAAAAAAACGTTTGTCAGGCATGATATGTCCTTATATTGAGGGATGCTGGACCCGGTTTCCAGCAGGTGCAGCTCCCCACCAATAGATGGAGCCTTCAACCGGGGACTCACTTAGGGAGGCTGCTCTTATGAACTCCCTATTTAAAAAAAAAAAAAAAAAAAAAAAAA